AGATTTAACGTAGTCCTTGCCGAATTCGGCTTTATCAATATTGGCCTGTGTTCCCAGCATCTCCCAAAAGAGGGGGAAATAAGGAGATCGAAGATTCCTACAGATATCGATAACATCACACATCAGGCGATACAACAACAGCCCGACGAAAAAAAGAGTTGCAATCCTTAGTGCTGTGTATTCATAAATGCAGGCATTTTCAACGCCATGATAATTAGCGATAAGCAAAGATTAAGTCTTTGCCACAGAAATTATAAAACATTCGCTTGAACATCTAAATTTTTCGAACTGTGGCAGTGCCACATTTTTTTCGCTTCGGCCGTCCGCTTGTTTTAAAGACTACGGTTTGGCCTACCAACGGCCGCAAATTATTTTAGCAAACTTATCCCTCCCTTCGTTTGAATTTTCTGACTCCGGCTGCTCTATATTTTGTTTTCTTTGGATCGTTCACTTGTTTTAAGATTACGATTCAGCCTTTCAGCGACCGCAGTTTATTATCCCCATTAATGAAACAAGACCTTCCCAGCGAAAATAGATGCAAAACGAAAAAAAAAAAAAAACAGAAGCTGCGCTAGGAGCAGCTGAAATAGAAGTTGAGAACCTCTTTTTGCATGTCAATCAATGCAAGAACTGACATAGACCAAGGTCTTTTTCTGACATGTCAATAAATGCAAAGCTGCTACTGCTGCTGCAGCAAGTGTCAACCGAAGAACTGGGAACTGTCTAAGCGAGGCTTTCACACTTCAAGAAACACAAAAATTGACAGCAGTGAATTTGAAACCAAAAAAAAGCTTTTACGTATGCCTAATTCTCAGATATGGACAGGAGAATGTTATGCTGGGAGATTTAATGATTCAAGAATTTGGCAAGAAGAATCATTCAAGAACTAAACCTGAAATTATATGATGTCTCATATTCATATGCCACTCTCGCAATAAAAATTTATCGAATTTAGATTCACCTTCTAAGCAAATTCATCCCTCCTCACACCCACCTCCACTCTCAAACACCGTGCGCCTTCCCCTCCCCCTCCCCTTATACACCAGATTTCACGATCCAGGGGTTCTCTCAAAATACACCAGTAATAAACTTAACAGATCATTTTGTTCAAGTGACTAAAACATCAAAAATCTGCCATTTTACCTGTCTAGTGTGACTCCAGTCGGCAATAAATCCACAGAACAGCATGCTAATCATATTGGTAAGCCCGATTCCCGATACAAGATAGGATGCTTCTGCTTCGGTAACATTGTGAATGTCCACTGCATACTCCGGAAAATTTACGTATGGTATGTCGAAGAATATGTACAGGATAAATGTGCTCAACAGGAAAAG